TAATTGAAATGCTGAAACGTTCTATGAATATCAGAAACATATAGAAGAGCCGCAGAAAAAAATTTGAACTCTTGATTCCTTTTCTTGAAAGAGTTATAAAACTTTGAATTTTTTCCTATTTTACTGGAAAAATAAAATAATTCCATAACTTCTGAAAGAAGCGGCCAGGGTCCAAATTCTTTTAAGGCTTTTTACTAGCTCATATCTACTATCGATCGACATATCAGTCATTGAAATCAGAGGACACCAAGCTGTCTAGAGAGATCCGATTTAGCTATCTTATGGAATAGATCTAATTCAATAGTACGTTTCAGCTTACTAATTAATTGGAGTGAAGTTCCTCATAGCAATTGCATGAGGATTGCTTTTCACGACTAAATCATGCGAAGACGAGTTACACGTCAGACCACAAGTCTATATCAGAAGGTTTTTTTTCTAGATTCGAGGACGTTATACAGCCTCTCCAATCCTCGAAGCTGATTTAGATCTTAAAAAAGATCTTGTTATTGGTGAAAATCATCGTCGAGTCGCAAACAATCTACTCTTCTGTATTCATCGTATGAAAAAATTAGCCGTCACAACAAAAGAACGTCAACAATTTACACTGGACAATCGTTGTTCTTTGTCAATTAAATTTGCTGAAAATAGCATTATTGAAAAGCGAAAATATCGAGAAAAGAGATAAGAATAATTTCTTTTTTTACTTATATATAATTTTAAATACAATAAATGTATTACCAACTCTATATGACATTTTCGTCAGTTTTTTCTATTTTCTGATACTTAAAATATCCTGCAGCTTACGAAAACATGCGTCTTTAGGAGAGAACAAGGGGAAGAAAACAGTCAATAAACTAATGAGCAAGGAAGCAAGTGACAGGTTTTTTAGCTCGAACATGGGAAGAACCAAACAGCACAGATTATGCTCAGTCCTTTATTCGAAGACTTTGCCACGTTTTTCTGTTTCACATGCTTAAATCATTTTTTGTCAATTGCTTACTTGCCGTTTCAGATGAAAACTTCAGTTATTACTTCTTTCACGACCATCCCACTCTTATTAATGATTACCATTTCATATTCAACCAACGTTACAAAATTTGAACACTTTATTAAGAAATGGGAAAATGTTGTTGTGAGTTGTTGTCCTTTTTCTAATTCTTCGTGTGTTCTAAATCAAATTCAATGCACGCAATTAGCTCAACTAAATGAATATTTAATTGATAACTTCAATGACAACGAACAAAAAACATTAAAAGACTTATTAGCCAAAAAGGCACGAGAAAAACAAGATCAGCCCGATTCAACCCAATCATTAAGAACCTCATGTGGATCAAACATTAAAATGGCAACAGGATGTCTATTTATTTTATTATTTTTCCTTCTAATATTAAACTAGACTATAAAACAAGCGAGCAGAGCAGTTCTTAGCAAACTAAAGTGCCATGTTCTACTTTCTTCGTTTTTTTTACAATAAATAAAACATTTTCTCTATTCATAAACACATATTTTGTTATTACAGACATGTGGCAAAAGGATACAGCGACGTTCCCAGCACTAGACCAAGAGTGGATCATGACCCAACCCTTAAAAACAGAAAATTCCTTTCTTTATTTAGCAGTAGAAAAAAATATTTTTAATGAAATCGAAAAGAAAAATACTGCACAACTGTTTTTACCGTTTTCGTTAGCCAAAAAAAAGGCTTGGCTCATCCCTTGCTGAAATCCTGGGTACGTCGCTGAAGGATATTGGATGAAAGGGGAAACAATCAGCAATGCAGAACTCTTATAACTTGTAATTGGGATTAGAAAGAAGTATCACATCGTCGACAGTAATTAATGCTACACATTTTCAAGGATAAACTGACTACTGAGTGACACAGCTAAGATAACTCTCCTGATTCTCGGGTAGTTAGAAGAAAGTTTTTTGACGAAACCACGATAAGAATTCATCATTTGTAGGCACAGCTCGTAAAAATGATTTCTTCGAACTGAAGTTATCGAACGTAACAAATATGTACGATTTTTTTGTTGCCTTACACTGAAATTTTGACTTGAAAACAACAAAGAGACACTATCTTTAACAAGCAAAGTCAAGCGCATCGTAGCATGTGGTGCAGACGTGAGTTAATTCATTTTTAGAGCTCTATCAGTAACCCGCTTAGCAAACCAGAAACGTAAAAAAAATATTTTTGTTTGTACGAGTTTATTTTTTTTACATTAAAAAACAACAGACATGTAGTAAGAAATGAAAACGCTTTTGAAAAGCACATAAATAAACTATAAAACCATAAATAGTAATCAATGATCGATGTCTAAAATAACGGACACTCAACGATATAATTCTTCTTAAAGAAACGAACAAAAGAGTATCAGTCACTACAGTGAAAACACACTCAGATTAGAAAAAATGCAGTGAAATTTTCTTTTATGTAAAGCGGAAAACAAATTGCTGGTGGAACCGCGAGTCATCAAAAACGCTGTCATAGCGTACTAGCTGAACTCACTTTATATGTTCATAAATTAATAGAGTAGCAACGAAAGTTTCAAGAATTAAGGTGTGATCAAGCGTAGGAAAGCCGTGTATATTGTGTTAAAAGCAAATGGTAAAATAACATCAGCAGGCAAAACAACTGCAAAAAGACCGCTTTTCAGTTTTCTTTTTTTATTCTATCCATTAGTAAAACTAAATAAGCGAGAACTCAGCTAACAAAGTACATCTCTTTTGTTACTCCGTGGGCAGTTCCACGAACCAATCGACGTGCTAGAATAAAACTAGAAAGTGTTTTAGCTGTTATATGATGAGTTATGTAGTAGAAATGGTTTATTTTAACTAAGTAAGTATGTAAGAATAAAAATGCTAAAAAAACGGATGTTAATTTTAAGAAGCAAATACACATAAAAAGTGGCGCCAAAAAATGACGCTAAAAAACGCGAATTAAAATTATTTTTTTCTGAATTTCCCTATTTCAAATTTTATGCTAAGTTAATATAAAATTAGTTCTAAGCTTTTTGATATACAAATGACCCTGTATCTCTGAGCCTGGCAAAAGGTCATACTTTTCATATGATCGATGGGTTACAGAGTTTAATGTCTTTTTTTCTCCTCTCGTTTCTCTTCGCCATGTTATAAACATTTTTTTCTAGAAGAATCTTACAACCGCTCATCGTCGGTGTACAACCGCTCATCGGTTACAACGTAACCTTCTGAAAATAATTTTTTCAGATTCAGGACCAAAAACTGAATATAAAAAAGCTGTTTAGTTGATACCAGACCCAAAACTCTATTGATGGTGACGCTTCGAATCTCGTCGAGTCCACTAGGTAATCATATAGAAATCATCGTGGACCAGTACGTATGATAAATAATGCAAGTCGAAATCAGGTTCCCCTGCACCTATAAAAATCTGCAAATTCCTTGCACTTTACACATTGCAGCTAATTCGTATACATATTCTGAGAATCGCAAGGAGACTAGCCATCATAAATATCTAAACTCGGAAAAGGTTTCCCTACGGCTCCGAAAATCTGCAAATTGCTAGCACTTTGCACATTGCAGTTCATTCGTATTAAATTGTGCGAATTCATAGATGAGTACGTATGATAAATAGCGGAAAACAAAATCAGGTTCACTCCCGTTCATATTAGAGATAAGAACGAATTCGTAGTTTGTACATACGAACTGAACGAATGTGCAAAGTGCACGCAATTTGCAGTTGTTTCGACCTAGGGGAACAATGTTTTCGCTTTTAATCTACTTTAACAGCAACAAAGTAGCGAATTATCAGATTTCGCATACGAATTGTTTGCGAAGTACAAAGAACGAGCAATTTGCAGATTTTTCGATGTAGAGATAAATGGTTTTTTGAATTTTCATAGTTAGCATTGCTCTATCAGCCCGCGTTCTGTAAATTCATGCGTCCACACAGAAGTGCAATTGCGAAATAGCTAACGCATCAACGAGTAGCATTTTCGAATTCGCAGTAACATCTAATTTTGAAATTCCTGCGAGCATTCATGCTACCAGCACATATGCGAAAGAAACAGATCTTATCGAAATTTTATTATTATGATATTAGTTGAACAGTCAGTCCGTTGTCACTTGCCCGATCAGGAAATATTGCTCGAACGAGCAACTTGCCCGATCAAACAAGACTCTATCTTGGAAACCGTAGGTCCTCTAACGGGTGGAAAGTGCTTATTCTTCTTCTCGCACATTGTATATTTATTGTGCATCAAAATTATATGTTCCACCTTTTTCCTTTCTCATGGGAGAAATGAAAAACAAATTTAGCTCAATATCGTTCATTTTATCTTTCCCGATCTGGCAATATTGCTAGTTCGGGCAAGGTCAGTATTGCCGGTTTCGGCAATATATCTTGCCAGATATATTGATTTACATACATTTATTTGTACTTTACGCACATTTATATGCGTACGAAGCCTTACTAGAAAGTTTGTTTTTATATAAGTACATAGGAAGGTTAAGTGTAGCAAGAATTGCGATTTATAATAAATAAAACTCTGTCAAATAAGTGTGAACGTATCTGATAATTTCATGAGTACTTCTCTTTGTATTCATCTGCAGTCATTCTCTAACTTTGTACTTTTATAGACAAGAAAAGTTCTTTCTTTTCATTGTTTTCGTTACATGAATAACAACGAGAAAAAACAGAATGTATATATGTTGTAGGCAAAACTCAAATTTTAGTTTTGACTGGGCAAAACTTAAATTTAATATTATAATTTGAGTTTTGCCTGAATATAATTATATTATTTATAAACTAAATTTTGACACCATCTAAGAGTATTCCTGATTCCAGTCAGGTGACAGTCTTCTATTAGGTGTTTTAAAGGAAGGAGAAGAGACTGATATCATTTGGAGCGGTCTGGATATGATGAGAAGTCATTTTCTAAAAACCAAGTACAATGGAAAGTGATAGAACAACAAATAAACCTTACATTACGTATTTAATTTTCGCTTTTGTTGAAATTCAAAGTCAGAGAGTGCAGTTTGCCTTTATTTTGTAGATATGAATGTCGTTCGTATGACTGAAAACGTTCTTTTTTTAAGTAAAAAGACTTTTTTCTTTTCTTTTCAGTTTATTGTAGTTGTTATTACAGCAGTTAACTTGACGACATGAATAAGTCATAGGTCATTGTACATAACAAGCACTATCAGTCTTTGTGATGGATAATAGAATATAAGAGAGAAAACATCGACTAAAGTTCTTATATTAAAAATGTCTTCTTCGATTGAAAGTATTACTATGTCTTCTGCTGTAACTACTGTCTCTACCGTTTCTCCAGATACTGCTGAAAAAGGTTTTTATGATGAGTTAGAAAAACATCTCTGCTGTTTACAGCAAAAATATCAGCAGAAATCAGTTATTAAAAAAGAAACTTATGATAATATCCTTAAAGCATTATTACTCGAAAAAGGTAAGACTTTGGATTCTGTTTCTTCAAATTTTGTTTTCTGGGCCAGGAAAAAGTTTGTTTTGGTGAAATTTGCTGGAGTCGATCTTCTTTGTTGTTTGAAGACGAAAAAGCCTGTGTGTGTATGTGAATCGCTGTTCAATATTTTAAGTGAATCTCATGCGAGTGTATCGCATGGTGGGAGAGAAAAACGCTAGCTGCAGTGAACTCCCATTATTCCTGGGTACCAAGGTTTGCTGTGGAAATATTT